GATTTTAATTGATCTCCTTGACCTAGGGAAAGTTTCAAGGGTCGTGGAGTAGGTTCCATGTACAAAATGTATCAGTCCATCGGTTGTTGTATATGTTTATAAAATTGTTTATTCTATCCTGTTTATTAGCTCCGCTATCGACTTTGTCGAGCGGAGCTTATCATATGAGTGATTGTCCGTCGTCGTCCGTGTCAATGTTTTACTTTTTCGACTTCTTCTTGAAAACTACAAGCCTGAATGCTTTGATACTTGGTGTATATGTACCTTGGGTAGACCTCTATCAGATTTGTTCATTTCATGATGATATCTTCAATTCTCTAATTTTGGTGAATATTTTTTGTTTTGGTAAAAAGTGATATTTTCGACTTTTTGTTAAAAACGCAAGTCCAATTGCTTTGATATTACATATATAGGTACTACATGTGGACCTCTCTCAGATTTGTTCATTTTGTAATGATATCTTTAATTCTATAATATTGGTGAATATTTTTGGTAAAAAGTGATTTTTTCGACTTCTTGTTGAAAACCGCAAGTCTGATTGCTTTTATATTACATGTATAGGTACTACCGGTACATGTGGACCTCTTTCAGATTTGTTAATTGCATGGTGATATCTTCAATTATCTAATTTTGATGATTATTTTTGGTGAAAAGTGATATTTTTGAATTCTTGTTGACAACAGCAAGTCCTGTTGCTTTGATACTCTACATATTTTCATTTTCTAATGATATCTTCTGTTCTTTAATTGAAATGTGCATTACTAACAGCGGAGCTATCTCAGCCGACTGGCTGCTTGTTTATTATGTTACATTCTAAAAACAGCAATTTTCATTCTTTTTTTTAGTGCTCACAGTCTAAAATAACGTGGATTTCATTTTCCACTTTTTTATCATTACATTTCGACATATTCTATTTTTTTCTTCCAATTTTGGCTTCCTTCTTCGACCTAATTCAATTTCAAGATTATTGTCACTTATTCTGAATTTTGTTAATATTCTTCTCATGCTTAAGTTTTATTTATATTATGGTCCTTTCAGGTGAACACAATGAACTATGAATATTAAATTACATTTAAGTATCTGATTTACAGGATTTTATGCAATCCTGTAAAAAGTCACTGGGAATAATGTTAGACCATTCTCACCTGCCTGAGTATTTTTTCATCACATTCCAAACTCTCACAAAATAAACTGACAAAACCTGGGAACTATAATTAGCATGATGCAAAATGTTCAATATAATAAGCCTTTGTTTTGGAATGAAAACATGGATTTTCTGCATCAACAAACAGAATTTTTGGTTCCCTGTATGGAAGGTATGCACACTGATTGATCCATTTGCAAGCTACTGAATACTGCGATGTTGGCGTATTTTAGCACAACTTACTTCAAGTGTTTTAAAAATGACACACTTTACAACAATTGATTATTCTTTACTGCATACTGTAAAACATGTTGAAAAGATGACATGCAATTTTAGCGAATTGCGGTAAAATGACGAAATGTTGATTTAGCAAATCTCTCTTGTCATTGTTGATTTATTGTTTTCACAATACTTGTCTGTCGCATGTCAAAACAAATGTGCAGTTATCACCTCCATAAAAACAAAGAAAAACTATATATCAGTATCACTTTATGTTATTTATTCATTTATTTATTTTCATTGAAATAATGACCACAATGAATACGTTTATTTTTCTGTGTTTACTTTTCAATAAAGTGTATCTATCATGTCATTACGTTTTTTTTGTTTACAAGGTGTGTGTGAAGAAAAAAGACATTGTTTGGCGGCCATTTTGAATTTACAATAAAGTCATTAGCGACATCTTGTATTAGCGAATCAGTTCTCTCGCTAAGTTCGCTAAAAAGACATGCTTTCGAAAAAGACATGTTTTACAGTATGTTTTCAAATCTTATAAATTGTCTTATTCAACAGTTTTGGGATACCAGAACACCCAATCCAATGTTAACGTTACAGTTACCAGAGCGCTGTTACTGCATGGATGTTGTAAGTATCTACTTCTATGCATGCTATTCATTTATAATCAACCATGTAGTGTATTTGTATAACGTGCAACATCACTGTTTGCATACAAACTGAAAACAATATATTCAGCTATCTCAAGATAAGGTCATGTACATGCATTAGTAATCCAAACATTCACCAATACAAATATGGAAAACAATCCAATTTACCTTTTTTTTACTACTTTTATTTGCTTGTCAGTTTTTATTTTCCTGTGTGTATTTTTATTTTCACTTTATTAATTGTTTGTCTTTATTCACATCTGTATTGCATTTTAGTCAAAATCCTAATAGGGATACAAACGCTATAGAGATAATTATAATTACAAAGCTAATTGTTCAGGTCTTTAATGATGTTGAAACTGTACTTTTTAGTGAGTTAGTCAGTAAAATATTTATTTGAGCCACCTATGTCATGAAAAATGTAAGTGTCAAGGGCTGGTGTTTTGGAACATAATAACCAGTATTTCTTAAATGTTACTGTGAAGCAGTATTCTTAGCTTCAACCGACACTACACTCAAATGGGGGTGATAGATGATCATGTGTCTGTGTGCCAGCCCTTATAGTGAACAGTTGTGGACCATGGTGTATTCAATATGGGTGCTATGCCATGTATACAGTGCATGTAAAAAATCTACTGTTAACAACTGTGATGCTTTAAACAGTTTGTTTATTATTATATCTTGATAGGTATATCCCATGGCAGTAGTAGGTACGGCTAATAGAGGTATCATTGTGTATCAGTTAGAAAACCAACCATCAGAGTACAAACGTATTGATTCACCGTTGAAGTTTCAGGTAATAATCATGACAAATTCTCACTTGTCTTGATATTATGCATACACAGCTGACAGGAAGGCACACAATACCAATGCACAAGTTATACCTGTTCATACTGACAGAAAAAGTGAGATGAACTTAGGAGAAAAAAAAATCACTGGGAATTCTAATGTATGATCACTGATGATTCATGCAGAAAGACATATTGAATATGGGAAAACATACTCTAGCACCAGCCTTAGCTGTCTTCTTAAAAAACTGCTATGGAACAAAACAGCAACAACTATCAGTGTATTAGGTTACATTTTGTGTTCATTCTATATTCTGTATTCACCATTGGCTGCAAATTGTCTTTATTGTTTATCCATATTTGTTTTTGATTTGTTTTATATTTTTAGAATAGTTTTTTTCTTTTTAGATTATAGTTTTTAAATTTCTTTCTGTAAGACCCTTTTTATCCTTTCCTAAGGATTTTATGCGTCTAATAACATATATTAATATTATAATTTTTAAAAATATGTGCATTATATTTGCACTACTAATACCACTTCTCCAATAGAAGCACATGTACGCCAACAATACATTTAATTTATGCTGGATCATTAAAATATGACATAAATTTACCATACATAAACCTTTGTATTCGCCTAAAAGCAAGGGTTATTAATAGAGCAAAAACGGTAGTCTAATTAATATTCTGCATATTTACATTATTTATATTAACCCCCAGTGCACCAAAGTCAACTTTAGTAACCGATCTCAAAATAAAACCCACATGATTTCACTCATATTATACTCATATTAATCATGTGTTTTTACACATGGATCAAAATTATCAAAAGAATTGTGGAAAAAACTAAAATTGGGCAACATGATACACCATAATTTAGTTGGAATAAATTATAAGTTAAAGTTAAAAAGCCATAGCTCAATGTATTTGGACATGTACAATATATATAGACTTGATAGATTTTTATGTCCAATTGACCCTGAATTTCCTCAATATTTTCAATTTATTTCACAGCATTATTAATAAAATCATCTTTTAAATCGTATACCGTAAAAAGGTTAATTATTCACTGGGTTTTATTAATTTTGCTTATTTCGCTGACTGGAAAGTGCGCTAAATTAAAACCCAGTGAATATGTAAAATTTAGCACAGAACACGTTATCTAAATGATAAAACTGTGAATTTAAAACCCACTGAGTATGCCTGAAATGGTAAATCAGCGAAATAAAAACCAAGTGAAAATTAGTCATTTCACAGTATGTTGAAATAAATAATAATTGAACCTACTAAAAAAATTCAAAGAAAAAATAAATTTTCAACGTGAACCATTAACAGGGTGGTAGCATCCGAATTAACACCAAAATTGACTGCAGCATTGTGAGAAATTTGTCATTGTTGTAATGCAAAGTTCAGAGATTATTGTCCGTTTCTTATTTGACTGACAGCACCGATGTGTATCTATATTTCAAAGACAAAAAAGGAGCTCCAACAGGTTTTGCCCTTGGAAGTATTGAAGGCAGAGTAGCTATACACTTTGTACAGGCAGCCAATCCGTAAGTACCAGTACATTCATCAGTCTAAAAATTGAGACTTCAATTTTTTGTGCCTAATTTTGTCTTGTGATCTGATTACTGTCACCATCTCATCTACAATGACTTGTTCTTTTTATGATTCATATAATAGGAAAGATAACTTCACATTCAAATGTCATCGTTCCAATGGTACTACCAACTCAATACAAGACATCTTTGCTGTAAGTACATGAATAAGGGATTTATTACATAGGAAGTATGCTTGATATTAACATCATTGTATTCTGCAAAGTCACTGATATCATCTACAGAGATTCAGTGGTCTCAAAATAAGCTTAGGACATTTTGTCCAAAATGGCAACTAGCATCATGGGACATTTCTAGGCCTTTTGTCTGAAATAATTTAACAAAATTAGAACAATTTGAAAAAAAAAACAGTAAACATCTGAATCATATCATCAAGTTATCAGTTATGCAAATAAACATGGCTATGATACCCCAACTGTAGATTGAATTGGAACACAAAATCTCCTGGTTCTTAAAACTGCCACATTCAGAAAAAGTTTGTTTGAATATGTGTAAATTCACCTTGCGTAAAGTCACGTCATTGAAAGTGGATTAGACACTTCTCTTCATCACAAATGCGCTCTGCAAAATTGTTGATTGATTATCACAGCTAACTGATAGAAGGAGCATAAAAAAAACAATTATATCAAAATAAAAGTTTGGTATGTTAAATTGTTGCCATTTTGAGAAAAAGTTTTTCACGCCACATGAAATCATAGGTTACGATGATGTCATAACGCGACCATAATATGTAGACCATTTCAGGCTCTCTGCATTTTGGGCATTTTTGTTGTGATAAAGTGGCATTTAAACCCACACCATGGCTAGCATTGTCTGTATGAATCTGAATGTTTGCTTCTTTTGATGTTGCTTTTTAGTAGAACAGCTTTCTGACTTTGCTGTCCATCATGCGATGTCATGCTTTTATCAATTTACTTTTTTGCACACTTGCACCCTTAGCTCCAAAGTCTGTTTTTGTCTTTTCCATGATTTTTAACATTTTCTTATTCTTGTCCTTGTCTGTATTTGATTGTTCCTTGAAAGGTGGGGCTTCTTTCTGTTCCTGCATAAGTACTCACTTATTGATCCTTCCTGCATAGTAGAAAACTCATTTGCATCACCTGGGATGTTAAGCAGGTTTATAGCGATCAAAAGCTGTGCTCATTATGGACTCGAATCGCATCAGTAACGCTGACTTGGTGTCCTATCATTATTCATTCAACTTACTAGCTGGCAACACACCGCCCTCAACGGACCAACAAAATATTCCTTTTTTTTCATGTTCTTCAAGACACATACATGCTCCAATTGACTTGTGTTCAATCATTCTTGGTTGTATGTTACATATTTTATAATAATAATTGCTGTCTATATAACAGGTCAATGATATAGCGTTTCATCCAGAGCATGGTACGTTAGCAACGTGTGGATCAGATGGGAGGTTTAGTTTCTGGGATAAAGATGCACGTACTAAATTAAAGACATCTGAACAGTTAGATCAGCCAATCACATGCTGTACTTTCAATGCACAGGGTAATATCTATGCATATGCCTCAAGTTATGATTGGTCAAAGGTGGGTGTAACACTTCCAGTATTCTATTCAGTTAGTATGCTTAATTTAATTGTACTTCGTGTATCAGAAATGCATAGTGCATACAAGATGTTTAGTTTTGGATACATTTCTTGCGGAAACATTACTTATTAATTACTTATAAAAATGCGGCTCCATTATCCCCAATTCCTGCATCCAGCACAATTACAGCAAGTCTGGGAAGTAATGGGGCAGGAAGTCTCTGCCAACTTTGGTGTTGACTGAAAAGATCAACACAAACGATTTTGCATGTTTATCAGTCCTGTAAATCCTAAAGATGTTTCCAGGTATTGGTCATACTGTATG